ACTGGATTATTTCTGCAGTGTGTTTTGAACCGTAGTGTCTTCTGCATGTCTTGGTGGCCTTAGAAGGATGGCCATATGAAACAGAGAACAAAGTTCCTGTCCTTTTAAGAGTTTTGTGGAAGAGGTCATCCAGCAGGTCTAGCCTGCCTTGCAAGCTTGACCTGCTAAAATTACTTTTTCTACACAGCTATTAAAGGAACAGGACAGGAGTCCCGTTCTCTGTTTCATGTGGCTTACTTTTAGCCAGCCACACACCTTTTCTCACAGCACAAGGCAGGAGGGTGCAGTTATGAAGGTCAGCATGCAGAAAGCAGGAATATGGCAGCACTGTGGCACTTTTGAAGAGCTGTGCGAAAATGACTGCCCGCAAACCAGTGTGTTTCCTCCCCAAACGTGATTGTGGCATCTTAGCAGCTTGATATGATCAAGTCCATCAAATCGAGCCATGAAAGTTAACAGCTGCATCCATGCAGATGGCACTAGAGCTCTCTGACAGAGAAGGCAAAATGTCTCACTAAACTATAGTTCCCAGAATTCGACAGCCTTGAGCCAGGGCAATTAAGTGATGTCAAACCGGATTATTTCTGCCATGCGGATGCAACCCAAGAAGGATAAAAACAGTGTAACTGTGTAGTTTGGATTCGCACCTGCTAGTCTATTTTGAGTAAAGCAACGTAGAGTTTTAATTTAAAAATCTGTTATGTCCTATTCATGGACTACAGTCCTCTTCTTCATATGCATCTAAAACAGACTCTCCATATCTGTGGCTTTGACATTTGCAGATTTGATTATCTGTGGTTTTGGTTAATATGTTATCTCTAGGAATCTCTTCTAGGTCTTCCAACGCAACTCTGCCAAAAGTTGACCATAGATTTCTGCTGGAGAACCTAGAAGTTCCTAGAGAAAACACTTCTCTAGGCATTTGTATGTCCTCCAATATGATTCTATGATCAACTTCTGGCAGATGTTGACCACAGAGGTGCACTGGAGGACCTAGAGATTTCTAGAGATGTGTTCTCTTTGGTAAAAAGAATAGCGTGGGGTATTTTATTTGCAGGTTTTCCACACTCACAGAGGTCCTGTGCCCCTAACCCCAGCGAATGTGGAGGGACCACTGTAGTCCTTAAGACTCTACTGTTTGCTTTTGTACAATGGTTTTCCTGCAAAAGTTACACTGCACCCCTGTGGCAGATAAGTGTCCAGCCTCCATTCCTAAAAGACTACTGTGCCTGGTTATTTCCAGTCGAGTGTCATGCTTCCAATGACATAGCAAAACTGCATGGGAGGTGACTGAAGGGGACCACACACGATAAATTGAGTTGGTTGGGACAAGCCTAGAGGAAAGGTTTCCTGAGCTACTTTTAGAGGTAAAAGTGACTCAACAAACTGGCCTACGATAGCCCATCATCCAGAATGCTAATGCACTTGCGTGCATTGCTATATTTAAAGGTGTGATGTGCAGGCCAACTCTTTCCACATGCAAAGTGAATGAGCAAAAACACTGAAAGCGGAAACTTCCTCGAAACCTAGATAGAAGGATGCCGTCACCATAGCAGACAGAGGGGGGAAAAGATGGTGAGGTACATCCTTTAAAACTAAAAAGACATGTTACTTGATGGCATAGAATGTTTGCATACCCAAGCTATTATATTGCACAGAAATCTGTGTCAAGCGGTTCAATCTCAGCTGACAATACTGTATTACTGCCATGCAAAGTGTGTGTGTGTGTGTTGTGTGCCTTCAAGTAATTTCCGACTTATGGAGACCCTAAGCTGAACATATTATGAGGTTTTCTTGGCTAGATTTGTTCAGAGGAGGTTTGCCATTGCTTCCCCTGAGGCTGAGAACATGTGACTTGCCCAAGGTCACCCAGTCGGTTTCATGATTGAGCTGGGAATCTAACCCTCGTTTCCAGAGATACAGTCCAAAGCTCAAACTACTACGCCACACCGGCTCATGTCATTCAAAGTACTATATAACATTTATTTTGTAGTTAAATTAAGTCTCCCTTATCAGAAATACTTAGGACCAGAAGTGTTTGAGATTTTGGAGTTCTTCCAGTTTTGGAATATTTGCATATACATAATGAGATATCGTGGAGATGGGACCCAAGTTTAAACATGAAGTTTGTGTATGTTGAACCTTCAGAAAGCAAAGGTATTACTATCTGATTCAACCAGGTGGACAATTTTGGGTTTTTTAATATTTCGGATTTCAGAATTCCAGATAAGGATGACTCAACCTGTACAATGCTTACTAAATACTAAAGGACAGTATTAATTTACAGTAATACAAGTAGATGGTATTTAATACATAATTATAATACTTATTAAATATAAAATGCAAGTTATATTAAATTAAACATAATAATTATAGAATGCAATACAAAATAGGAATACAAATACTTTGGGTTGTTTTGGATAGGCAGTAGCCAAAGCACATACTGTGACTTTGGCAAACAGCATTTGTGCATTAGAGCCATGCAGTGCTTAGAAAGATTGTATCTCCCCAAATCCCCAGCCAGCATGGCCTGGGGTCAAAAAAGTCATTTTCCAAGCTCTTGTCCTGATGCTTGCACATCAGCAGTCAGCCAAACCTATTATACAATCTTCTACAGTGTATAGATTGGGGAGATGCATCCCTCAAGATGCTGTTGGACTACAGTTCCCATCAGCCAGCATGGTGAGGAATGTTCAACAACATTGGGAAGGCTGCCCTTTACCCAATTGTGTGTAGATAATCACATCATATCTTCCCATACCTCTTTCTCAGCAACTGGTATTCAGAGGTACACCACCTCTGAACAAGGAGGTTCTGTTTTGTCATCATGATTGATACCTGCTGAGACACCTGTCTTTCTCCATTAATCTATTTAATCTCTTTATGAAAGCCATTTTAAAACCAATAGCTGACACCACCATCACCATACAGTCTGAAAAAGTTACTTTCCCAAGCTCAGACTGTAAAGCATGTCCCAGTGATTCATGATGTATTATGTATAAAAATAGTTTCCTTTAACTAGTCTGATACTGCTTATCACTTCCATGTGTGTCTATGCACCTTCAAGTCCACTGTTGATTTATGGTGGCCCCATTAATGTCATATGATTTTCTTTAGCAAGGAATCCTCAGAGGTGGGTTTTGCTAGTTCCTTTCTCTGAAATATAGCTTACAGCACTTTACATTCAGTGGTGATAAGGAGATAAGATGTGGTGCTGGGGAAGAGTGCTGAAGAACAAATCAAGTCTGAACTCCCCTTGGAAGTTAAGATGATAAAACTGAGGCTGTCATACTTTGGCCACACCATGAGAAGGCACAACTCAAAAGGAAAAACAATATAGTGGGCCCTTGGTATCTGCTGAAGTTTGGGTCTGGAACCCTCCACAGATACCAAAATCCATTGATGGTCAAGTCCTATTAAATACAATGAATAGTAAAATTGTCTCCCTTATACAAAATGGCAAAATTAAGGTTTGCTTTCTCTAATTTATATGTATTTATTGTTAACTGCCTTCAAGTCGATATCGACTCATGGCAACCCTATGGATGAGACATCTCCAAGAGCCTCTGTCCTCCTCTGATCTGCTTAATTCCTGCAACCCCTTAATACTCAAAGTGACCTCCTTCATCGAGTCCATCCATCTGGCATGAGGCCTTCCTCTCTTCCTACTTCCCTCC